ACGGCATAGGCTGCAGTGGGGCTGCAGTGGGCTGCCATGAGCACGAGTGGCTGGCAGCCAGCGTGAGCAGCCGTCCAATTCCCGGCAACTGATCTGCCTCAGCCAGGAAGAGCCCAATGATCACAATACCAACATGGGCCAGTGAAGCAACGTCCTCCACAACTAGACTGAAGAACAAAAGGCCAGCAACTTGTTGTTCCCCTTCCCCCAATTCCCCAGCGCTGTTCCCATCCCCCCAATTCCCCAATAAAAATCTTTAAAAAAAAGCAATATGGAAAAGCTAGAAAGCAACAGAGCAAAATTAAAAGGTAATAAAATTTCCCACCTGGTATTCTTTACCTAACCAAAAAAATCAAACAAATGTCAGGATAAACTAAAACCATTTTAAAACATTAAGTAAACCAAGAATAAACATGACATGAGTTACCAGAAAATAGAGATCCAACCACAGGAGGAAGTGAAGGGAATCCCACGATAAAATTTATATACCAAGACTAGAAGGCCATCAGTCCAGAACGGAGGTCAGAGGGATAAAAGAGAGATTTCCTCAGGAAGATAAAATTGATAACAATACCTGACATGTCTGAACATCTTGAGAGACATCTGATGAAAAGTTAAGTTAGTTATAACTACAGAGAAAAGTAAGGGGACCAGGAAATGATAATGAACTCCTGCCAGATCACCCTATGAAAGCTAACAGTCAACAAGTCACACTAAGGATGTTTTATCAGCTCTCTAGTCTCCTGCACTTAAGTGCAAGCAAACAACCAAGAATAACCAGACATCTGAGAAAAGTCTCTATCACAAAAGGTAAAAGCCCACAAAATATGCAAAAGTGGGGGGAAAGACCCGAGTTTGGAGGAAACAGACTATGCTGATACATAAAAACTTGGGGGAGAAGGATGAGGATGACTAATATTTCTGTATGCTAAATAGTATATAGAAATATATATATATATGTATACCATATATACTAGTATACTATATATACTAGATGGCGGGGGGAGGGGGGATGGAAGGAGGAAGACAAGTGCAGGCCATTGTACAGAATAGAAACAGTAATCATATTTTACAAAAATCTTGAATAATCAATAGTGATGTAATCATAACTATTAGGAGGAATGGAGTACTGGAAGAAAGGGAGAGAGGGCTGCTCCTCAGGGTACCAGCTGAGTAGGTGATGACAACAAAGTTAAATCTTCATTTTCTATCTAGGAAGTTAGTAAAGCCAAAAATATAAGCAAGAAGTAGTTTTTTTAAACACACTTATACAGGGCATAGGAGTTAGACACAGTTCTAAGGGCTTTTCAAATTCCTTTAATTCTTATAACAAGCCTATGAGGTAGGTACCATTATCCCCATTTTTTAAAATGAGCAAACTGAGGCATAGAGAGGTTCAGCAGCCCAGGATTACACATAAAATAGTAAATGACAGGAATGACCAAGCCTAATCAGTCTAATTCGAGTCCACGCTCCTTACCGCCTGGCTATGTGGCACATCTAGTATTTAGAGACTACAAGGTAAATTTCACTGTCACCTGAGAGGGAAAGTCACTGCTTTTGGAAAAGGGAAACTGGAAAGGAAGGGGCAGGAAGCTTTTGTTTGTTTTGATAATCATGGAAACTATTTGACTTTTAAACTGTGCAGGTACAACCTCATTAAAAATTAAAACTTATAATTTAGTATTTTAGTTAAAGTATTTTATTTGATGCTACCATCCTCAGAAGCAGGCAAAATGAATGTTACTCCTATTTTATAGATAAGAAAACTCTCATTTCTCTTTAGTAAATATTTGAGGGCCTACTATATAACAGGCACTAACTAGAATTGGAAGATCAATATCAATTCACCGCAAGGAACCATGAGGTAAAAAAAGCAAATCCTTTTTAATCACTTCTTTTCAATTTGTTGCATAAATTATATGATCCTACATCTTTAACAGTTGTGCCTAAGATGAGAGACAATATAAATTTTAAATCATTATACAAAAGCAGAAAGTTCTGCTCATTAATTCGATAAAAAAATACTCAGTTCTTGCCCTGAGGAACTCCTAGTGGGGAAGATGGGGAAACATAATTATAATTGAATGTGTGCAGTGCCTTCAACAGACAACACTCAAAAGTGCTAAGGAAACACCGCTCTCTGGGTGAAGGGAATGCTTCAGAGGGAACATCTGAGCGGAGTCTTAAGAGTGAGAAGTTTGCACTTCACCTAAGAGGCTGTACTAATAATAATCACAAAACACAAAAGATTCTATAGCAGTGTGAAACGCCTGTATCTTCCCCTGTGTTGTAAAGGTAAGTTCATGCTAAAGGCTATCAGACATTAAGACCTTTTTAACGAGAATGATTTTTTTAAAAACAAGATATATAATCTTAATAAGCCTGATCCATGTTTCTAATCTTTATCGTCTTTCCCAGTGGCCAAGTGAAAGCATTTTCCACACGTCTAATAAACTTTTTAAAATGTAAAGTGTTAAGAGTATTATTTCAAAAGATGACTAAAGAAGAGAACTATCCTTGATTTGTTCTACCACACAAAAGTTTGCTAACATGTTTTCTAAGTCATAATATTTAAATTATAATGGACCCCTTTCTCCCATGAGAGACTTAAAAGGTGACCAAGCCCAGAAGATGCAAGTGACACAGAAGCTAACATGGGCAGAAAAGGTAAAAAGAATTTTTTAAAATCACTGTCACTTTCTTCTCTTGTAGATATTCTCAAATTCCCTTCCAAGGGCAAATTTAAATAAAACAACATTTCTTTTTCTAAACTATCGTGATAAAAGAAATAATCTGCAGTGAAATATATTAAAATATATATACACATCTTTATCCTTTCTGGCCTTTACAGGTATTTTAGGGGTGAAACATTTTGATTTTTCAAAATTTAAAGGATACCTCTGAAACAAAAATTTTCCGGATTTGAAGACTTAACTTTGATGTTAACTAACAAAGGCTCAAATACCGTAGTAAATTCAAAGTTTATACCATATTTAATCATATTTCTCAGTTTTTTTTATCCCTTTTATTCCAAACCTTTCTGCAAATTTGCCCCTAATTAATCTTCATCTCAGTATTATGCAGAAACATTAATTTTGTACTACTATCTTAAACTGGGACTCTGTCGCTACATTTGAAAACCTAGTTGTTAAGTAGCAACATCTGACTTTAATTGTCTGGAGCAGTAAGTTGTGGAAAGCTCCAAAATGCCCTACCACCAGGAGAAAAAAAAGGAGAAAGTCATGCCAGGAGACCACAATGGTAATCAACAAAAACCATGGCAGGTTTGCATTCAAAATGTGTGGTTTTCATTTGTGTATTTCACCAGTCTTTTATTTCTCTAAATTTACCATCCTCGTAATATATACCTGTTTACAGGGGCTTCAATCAATTCACACACTTTAGGTTTAGAAAACATTAATATTTGGGAAAAATAATTCTTTAAAATTATAGGTATTAGCAATTATAGGTATTAGCATGGTATGATAAAATTAAAGGTTTAACAATAACTATAATAGGGCTATTAAGGAAACTACCTCCTAGAAGAAGTCTACCTTTTAAAAGTACAGCTTTGCACACGTAGTACAAAAGAGGTCTGGTTAGGTGACAAGATTTTAATTATATTAGAAAAATAATAAAAATCTTGAATGACAAGATTTTAAATTATTCCAATAAACCATGCCTTTACCTTATATCTTTTAAGTAAAAAAAAAAAAAAATCATTTGGCTTTTTTCTTTTTCTAAAATTGCAATTCTTTTGAAACATGCTCAATTTTTCCAAAGTGAAAACCATATACGTTTAAAATAGAAATGTTCCAGTTGGTTTGATGAAAGTTCAATCACAAAAATCTCCACTAACACTAAAATAGTTAAATATCTTTCAAGCTTATTCAAAGTTCCACAGTGAAAATGAATAGCCTTTGTCAACTCATATGATATTTATTCTGATCAAGGTTAGTCAGACTGGCAAATCTGGGAAAAGAACATTCCTTTAAATTCAACTTAATTTAAAACAATGCAGAATCATGAGATTTCACAACTTTTCTAGCCAGTCAGCTTCAAAGACACAATTTTATTCAATAAGCATGATTAGTATATTATTTCCAATTTAATTAAGAAAACACTAGTTTAATAATGTAGTTTAGGCTTTATGTATTTTTTTCGTTAAGGGAAGACGGGAACAGGTGGAGCAGATTAGCAGGAGAACAGAACAAAGTCTTATTTTCATGCCTCTATAAAGTCAACCCTCCAAGACTTTCTTTACTCTTAAAATGGCTACCACCTTGATCTACTATGCAAAATGAAAAATGTATAGCATACTACCATCAAAGATAAATCTAGTTATTTTGATAGTGTATGCCCTCCTCCCCCACAAAATACTTTTTAAGATTCCCATTCCTTTCACTGTCAAATAAGCACACAAAAGTTGGTCAATTACAGTATGAAGGCAACCTATATAACCCAGATTAGCTCATCTTGCCTGTGTCTGACTAGGAAAAGCAGGTAAGATTATCTTTCACAGACTAAGATCCAACACAGTAGAACTGAGAAGGGCTGTACAGTCTAGTAAAGGAGAAATAAATGTGGAACCACACCCCTCCCAAGAGATGCTCATAAGGATTTTAGTAATTCAAAAGAAAAGATTAACTATTATACTGATCAGCAAAACTTAAGTTTCTGTTTGTAATTAATCTTTCTAAAAAGCCTCCTACAAATAACAAAAACCACTTGGAGCTCCCAAACCTATTCTTAATGCTTTATAACTATTCTGTCAAATAATATTTACATATTACTTACACCATTTCCTATCCACTCTGAAACCATTCCATAACACTCTTGCTCTAGAAAACTTACCACAGAAACGCATTTTCACATACAAAAGTGAAAAGGTGTATAACGGTTTAGACTCATCTTGTGCATATTTGTATACACACACAGCTACTGAACAGATTGAAGCTGACTCTGCTGAATGTCTGCAGAAACATGGCAGGTCTTACCTCTCATCCTCTCCATCCACAAGGGGTGTCGTCAGCGGCAGCACCTTCAACGGGAAAAGAGAAGCAGAGGCTGCTAGGCTGCTGCTACTCCCATCTGAAACTGCTGACATTCCCCCACTGTCACCACTGATGGTCTGAGGTAAGCCAACTAAGGACGGCTCCGCTGGGCGCCTGGCATCTTCAACTTGGCCTCCGATTGCCTGAGCTAATGATTGTGCAGAGGACTGAGTAGAACTTAGTGACATCTGTTGTGCCAAAGGCAAATTTATATTAGTTGCTATCGAGGGAGGTTGACTAACACTTTGAACCACATTACCGTTTTGAGTGGCAGGGCTTTGTGCTATGTTCTGTGGCGGAACCAAGTTTGTTGGGGCAGAAGGCATTCCAGGACCAGTTGAGCTAACCTGATTGGTGACAGAAATGCTACTTGCAGAGGGCAAAGGACTAAGTGCAGGCAACTGCTGCAAAACGACTCCTTGAGCTACGGGTTCTACTCCTGGTGGCTGGGGAGGCACGGTTACCAGGGTATTTTGGGGAGCAATGACCAATTGTTGAGGAAGGCTTGAAGCACTAGTTTGAACTCCCTGATGAATAATCGCCGTTTGAGCGGGTGGAACTATCTGTGAAGATGGAGGAGCACCTTGCTGAATAACTGAAGGTGTGACTTGGGAAGAGGGCTGCTGCACAGCAGTGGGCACGTTTGCTTGGTGACCAATATTTGCAATTTGACTGCCAGGAGGTACAGCAGGTACTGCTGTTGGCGCCTGGGCGACAGGCTGGCCAGGTGCCCCTGAAGGTGGAGCCTGGATGGTTGTGGGCTGCACTGGCAGCTGGACACTCTGTGGCTGAGCCATGGGAATCACCGCAGCTCCTGTTCCCACTCCTGCAGGAGCGGGCTGCCCAGTGGACACTGCTGATGGAAGGGTCGGCGGCGGCGGCTGCTGGACATACTCTGAAGGAGGGATTGGCGTCACTGACGTCCCATGGACTGGGGCCATCTGCGTGGAAACAGTCGATTGCGGCTGTCCATACTGTAACTGCTGGGGTGGTGCCCCGGGAAGGGGAGCTTGCAGTGGAGGAGCCGTCTGAGGATATGGCAGTTGGGGTTGAGCCAAACTAGCGATGGAAGGCTGCTGGCCTAAAGCTGAAGTTACGCCAACCACATTAACAGGTGATGGCTGGATACCAGTCGCAGCATTGAGAGTGGCTTGCACGGGCACTGGCTGAACACCTTGCTTTTGCTGATAGCTCAGTTCTTGAGACTGCAACTGTACTTGGGAGAGGTGTGGCGGAGGAATACTCTGCGCGGTGCTAACTGCTGGAACGCCCGGTGGACCAGTGCTGCTGAAATCCATCTGCGGAAGGCCTGCGCCTGGAAGAGCTGGCTGTTGCACCACCACAGTCGGGGCGCCCATCTCTCCGCTTCCCACACTCTCTGTGTAGTGACTCAGTGTGCTGACACTACTGCTCACTGAGCTCCCACTGGTGCTCTCTCTCTCAGAAGTCACGTCTGTTGGGTTTTGTTTTACAGTTTCCACCGCTTTATTTATCGCCACACCTTCTGTGGCAGGTGCAGCATTTTCTTTTTCATAGAACTCAGTGCAAGTCCATCTACCTTTCTTAAAGGGCTCAGAACTAGAATCTAACTTCACAACTCTGAACCTTGACGTGTTAACTGTTGGTTGTTGCTGCTGACTTGAAACTGATCCCACCGTCATCCCTGCAGCCGCATTAGGGACACTTGTGTTAACAACAGCCGAGGAAGAAATAGTACCATTGGCCATGCCACTCAGGGTATTCACATTAACGCTGCTGCTAACTCCAGGCCCGACACTCCCGCTAGCAGCACTCGGAATATTGCTTGGATTTACATTAGCATTACCAGGCATGCTGCTTGTCACACTAGGATTAAAACTGCCCACGGCAGTAAGGTTAACATTATTCACTGTATTAGTGCCAGTAACAGAATTTATACCTATACTGCCGCCGGTAGCACTCACAGCACGGACATTAGTCATTACAGAAGCAGGCAAGCCACCCGATGAGACAGCAGAAGTTGGTGCAGCTGGTATCACACTGTCAGAGCTTCCAGTGGTCGAGAGTTTTCTGGATGCTGGGCTTGAGGGTGGCCCTCCAGGAATGGATGGGCTGGCCACACCGGCATGGGACGGATGGTGGTGCCCATGGTGGAGGTGGTGCCCGTGATGCATGTGATGGTGGTGATGGAGGTGGTGTGGGTGGGCATTCCCATTGATCACAACATTCTGCTGTGCCAGGTGAGGAAGGTGGGGCTGGTTGGGAGAGACTGCCCCAGGTGTCTCAGCTTCCTGGAAGTTATTCAGAGTCTCTTCTGAGGAGCTGCGTTCAGGCTCCCCTAAGTCAGTGGCCCTGGAAAGCGACACATCAAGGATCTCGGAAGATGACAGATCCTCCGTGTGAGATTCATCCAGGTCATCATAGCTCTCGGTGTCCTCTGCTATACTGTTGTTAGAGCTCATGCTGGCGGAGATCTGAGCCGGCGTCACGCTAGTTATCTGGAAGCCACTTTTCTTTTTCATCTGAGTTCCGCCTGGCGCAAGAGGCTGTGCCTGCAGCTGAGCCTGCGAAAGGAGGTTCAGGCTTTGTGGAGGCGGCGGCTGTGGTCCCGACGTAGAGGATGCTGCAGGAGGCGGCGGCTGGAGCAGCGACGGAGGCGGAAAATCCTCGGAAGATGGGGCATGACTACCGACGCTGGTACCTGCTGCACTGAGAGCAGAGGCGCTGCCACTGCCGCTGCCCCTTCTCGGGAACAGTGCCGGGTGCGCCATCTTCCTAGCACTAATGTCTGCAGCGGCCGCGGCGGCGGCGGCGGACTCGGGCGGCTGGTGCATTGTGTTGGGTACCGGGGGGCGGAGGAGGCGAGGGCAATTTCCTTCTGCACCGTAATCTTTGTATTCAGGACGCCGGGGAGGAAAACGGGAGCCGACGCTCCGCCCGGCGCGATTCCTCCTTCTCCTCCTCCTCAGCCGAAGGCGCCGGCCGTTCCTGCCTTCGAGGGCGAGCTTCGAGAAGGGAGGATGAACGAGGGTGAACAGGGCGGCCGAGAACCCGAAGGGGGCACCCCTTCAGTCCTTCGCCATTCACTTTCCCCCTAGTCTCACACCCCCCTTTATATCCCGCTTCGGGTGGGGTGCGGGGCAAGAGGGCGGGGGAGACCCCGGGAGGGGGGAGGCCAGGGGAGGGGGTGGGAAAACCCAGCAATGCCCCCCTTCTCCGGACAACTCAGAAGCCACCGCAACCCCTCCTCTCGCCGCGGCGGCGGCGGCCGCTGCAAAGCCCTCCCGGGCGCTCTGCACGCAGGCAGCGCGGAGCGAGTGTCGCCTTCCCCTCGCCGCCGCCGCCGCCGGGCAGCCCCGAGCTCAGCGTCGCTCAGACCTCCCCTCCCGGCCCGGCTGGTCCCCGCTGGGCCCTCCCCCCGCGCCCCGCGGACCCTTTCAAACCCCCTGGGCTCGCGGCGGCTGCTCCGGGAGAAAACGCTGGCCGCGGCTGGGGCGACGAGGCTCCGAGCGGGGCGGCGGCGGGGCGCCCGGTACGGTGAGCCCAGCAACGAGGCGCGGGCGGGCGCGCGGAGACACCGGGTCCTCGCGGAGCACGGCCGGGACGCGGCGGCGGCGGTGGCAGCGGGAGCCCAGGGACCGCTCCATCACTGGCAGCCATGGAGCCCGAGCATTTTCCTCCCTCGGGGCAGGCGCCTCGGCTCGGCACTCGTCCTCGGGGAGGAAGGGGCCGGCGCCCGAGCCTCCCCGGAGGGCTGCGAGCCGCTCGCCTCCTCTTCCTCCGCAGCCGGCTCGTCCTCACCCCGCTGCTCCCGAGGCCGGGGAGGGAGGGGGCCGCAGGCGGCGGCGGCTCCTTTCTCGGCGGCGCTGGTGGCCAGACGGGCTGGTGCAGCGACTGCAGCCGACGCCGTTCAAAGGAACGAGAGGTGGGGTTGGTCGGTGTCGGCGAACGGGGCGGGCGAGGGGGTGGGTGCCGAGGGAGGGCGGCGGGCGGGGACGGGCTGAGGCGGTTGTTACTAGCGCTCTTCTCCGGCTCCGCCGTATCCCCCAGTCTCTCGCGGCATCGGGAGAGGAGGGACCAGCGCCCGAGCGCAGGAGGAGGGCCGGCGAGGGCGGAGGGAAGATGGCGTCTGCGCATGCGCCCCGGCGCCGCAGACATAAAGCCGGCTCTGGCAGAAAAGGAGGCGTCGGCTGTTCGGGCTTCGCCGAGCGCCGGGTCTACGGGACGGAGATTGCCGAAGGCAGGCGGCGGCGCCGACGCCGGGGGCGGGTGGGGAATTTCGGCCGGGGGAGCGAATCCGGGTCGGCCTGCGAGATGCTGCCGGGGTGGGGGTGGGGCAGGATGAGGGGCGCGCGCCGGTTAGGTGTGTCCGCTCGTTTTTCACACGCGGCCGGCGCGCGCGCGCGCGGGCACGCGACCGAGGAGGTGGCGCCGCGGGGAGGCTGCTGGAGCCCCGGGTCCCCAGTGTGCGCGCCCTGGGTGGTGTCCCCCCGCCTGCGGAATGGGTAATGAGGCTTTTCTCCGCAGCAACAGCATCACGGGTTTCAGTTCCCAGGAGCCCGCGGCCGCTGTGCCGCCACCGCCACGACATGAGTCAGGCTTTCTTCCTCCGCGCGTGGCTTTCCTCCTCCCCCTCGCCGCACCTGGGCTCGCCCCCGGCCCCTGCCGCCCTGGCCGGGTCGGAAGGTGATGCCCCGGCGCCCGGAGCTGCGGGGTCCACGGAAGGCGGGTGGCTCCTCACAATAGGTGCTGCCTTTTGTGCAGCGCAGCTGTGGCTGCCATGCGGTCCCCTCGCCCTTCGACGGGCAGGGGCGAGCCAGCCGGGCAGATGTTGCAGCTGTTTGCAGTTCACTGCCTAAGCTCCTCCCGGGTGGGCTCTTCGAGAGGGAGCGCTTGTAGTTCGTCCCTACCTGGAGGGAAGAAGCCGCCGGGCCCAACGAACTGCCCGACCTCAACAGGTGGAGCTTATCTCCCGCAGGGATATCTTTTCATTCAATTGTGCAGGCGGTCGCCCCCATAGGTTTGACTTAAAAGACGAAGTGGCCTAGGCTGGGTGGCAACACCAGCGCAATGATGAGTGAAGACTGCCTTTTAGGGTTAGAAAAGAGAAAGAACCATCTGCAATTCCAGTGGAAAAACAAAGAACCTGCAAGAGTCTGAGCGCAGTTCTACCGAAGCAATGTTAGGTTTGCCTGGAGGCAGTTTACTGGAAGTTGCTTCCATGGCATTACATGTCAGAATGTTCTAGCTTTAAGCATTTTTTACGACTAAACGAGAATGTATTTCTCGCCCAGGAATGAACAAAAACAAAGTAATATGGCAAACCCTATAGAGAAAAATTTATTTTCTTCACTTAAGTTGTTGGGGGACCAAACGTTTATCATGAGACCTCTGATTCAGAAACTCACAGACTTATCGATCTACAATCCTATTTTAGGAGCTTGTTAAAGCATAAACGGCTGTAGTCTTTCGCAGAGTTTTGATAGACGTCTAGTTGTTCATTTAACATGCTACCTTTAGGTTTCTCTAAACTTTTTCCCTCATTCCATTTCTCAAAAATTAATGTCACTATTCCCTTACCTTATTGAATAGGAATGCATCCTCAATATCCTATGAATATCCTATATTTAAGCTATGATACATTGTTGTTTGTTCTGGACTCGCCCACTAAACCCAAAAAAGCAGAACTACGTTTTTTCACTTTTACAATTTATTGCTAATGTGGAGCTCTGTGCTAGGTACAAAATTTAAGTGCTCACAAATATTGAAAATGATATGGTAATAAAAATCAAATGCATTTGAAAAGATCGTATTTGTTTTATGATATTCATGAATTAGTACGTAAATGATTGGTGAATGACTATTTTTATGTAACTATGACCATATGTGTACTTCACAAAAATAATAATTTCTTTTTTAATACCCCAAAAGCTTTTCTTTCAAATGCTATGCGTGTAATGGCTGCCATCCATTGCTGAACTGCAAATCTGACGTGTTTTTCCAAGTTTTGAATGGAAAATAGAAACTATCCTAACCAATTGAAACTACAGTGGAATGTAGATGGGCAAAATTCGGTTTCTTTGGACTACAGTGTGAAAGAAAATGCTCTTGATCTTTCAAAATGTTGCCTTAGGTCAAAGTCTTAAATTACTCTAAACAACAGCTTAACACCCCTTGGGGCACCTAAATACCCTCTACGATCCTGCTGATATGGTTAGAAGCAGAAGAAACACACATAATAAAGTCTTACCCAAAGTTGACAGAATGAGTTGTTGAATAACCCTATAAAAGCAGATACTTGTTCTAAGAAAGGGTATTGTTGTTTTGGGCTGTTTTGATGTTGGGGTAGGTATATTATTTCTTTTAAAAGAAAGTTTTGTGAAGAGAAAAAAAAACTTTTCCAGGATAACATAAGAAAATATGGTCCTTTCAAGTGTATTTCATTTTTGTCTGCAATATCACTTTCAAATTCCTGTTTCAGCTACATCCCATCCTACTAAGATAAAGAACAACTCTACATTTATGGATACCTGAGTATGAAAAACGGCTCTCACGAGTTCATTCTCTCTCTCTCTCTCCCTCTCTCTCTGTCTCTCCCCCATTGCCAGCATTTCTATGACCAGCAATACATGAATACAAGTACATTAAAATAAGCAGAAGCTCTTAAACAACCAGGTGTTATGGTACTACTTGTTAATTTTTAAAAAGTCTGGGTTTTTTAATATTAATATTAAACTCCTACTGCTATGTGTAATGAAGTCATAAATCTTTTGAACCCAGGATTTAGAGTTATCCTTTGCCTTTTGAAAGACTGAATTTCACCTGTTACTTTCTGAAGATATATCCCTAATTTCTGTTGACTAAAAGATTAACCTGTAGCGCATTGTTCACTTAAATCTAGTTATTGCAACATTGCAAACCAGCATGTAAAGTTTAGTGGGTTTTTTCTACCATAAAATAGAAAATTTGCTGAACATTATAATTTACCTTGTTGTGAGAACTGAGAACTAGGTCAGTATTTAAAGCCAGGTAATTCTCCAGAAGTAATGCCCTCAGAGAGCAGGAAGGGAATACTTACACTCAGAATGACTGAGTGGCAAAGATAGGCATTAAAGAGAATTGTGTGCAGAAAATATGCCACTATCCCACTCCAGCAATTATTCTGGCTAACCAGTGCTTCAGTCATGCCACACTCCTTATCTGGAATTTTTAAATGTCATCTGAAAAAAAAGTCAAAATTCTAAACATGATGTTAAAGAACAAAAATTCAATAGAGTAAATCTGAAGATCTAATTGTCTTTATTGAGCAATTCATGAATCAGGTAGCATCCCATCCAGCAAGTAGAGAGGTGCTCTCTCTGAGAAGCTGTACAATGTGGAAGGCTTTTATAGGCAGAAACTCGTGGGACAGTCATCAGCAAAATAAAAGATAGGATTGTTTCAGTCAAGGTTACCTTCCCTTAGGGGAAAGGGGTTTTTATCAGACAGATTGCCTCAACTTCCTGGGAGTGGTGGCTAGGATAGAAAGGGTCACATGACAGTACGTCATTGGTACTGACCAGAAAATTCCAGACTGACCCATCAAGATTGTATTCCTGGACAAGGCTGAAGCTGCAGTTTCGTCGTATATTGAGTCTAGGTTCTGTGTCATGGGCTTTAGCACAAGTAACTCCATTTTGGGGCTTTGGTTATCTCTATAATAATGAGTTCTATAAACATGAAAAAGCCACACATTTTGACATTTGAAGAAACTATGCACAAGGATCCTACAGCATGTTTATAAATCAATTTGCTCTCTAGAAATTTTTTTTTAAATGCGACCAGGAATAGTATATGCTATTTAACTTTTGAAATAGCACAAAACACTTATTTTGAAACTTTTCATTCAAATTGCAGTGGGTATAGTTTAGCTTATAACGGATTAATTTTTTTTTTACTATTTGTTAAATTGTCAATATAAGGATGTTTCTGGAAGCTGAACAATTTTATATCCTCAAAGCAGATACACTTATAAAACAAAAAAGTGCAGACATTTGAATTTATGGTTCAGAGGGCACACTGGTCCATGTTCATGTATTCCACCCTCGGAGAGAGAAGGCATCATCATTCTCATTTTAGAAGAAGATGATCACAGAGAGGTTAAAGGACGTGTCCGAGGTGTATGCCTGAACCTGGGTACCTAGGTCCTCTCAATTTCACATTCCATGCCTCTGTGTCAAGGGACTGTTTTGAAAAAGCAGCCTGAACTCTAGGGACTAGTAGTTCCTAGAGTAGTCTTCATAGCTCCCTTAGAAATTAATGAGTGTTCTTTTAATGCTTTTGAATGCCAAGGAAGATAGGCTGCACACACAAATTTTTACAGCATTTCTTCTACATGAAGAGAATGAAAGACGTTTTCTCTGTTTGAACCAGTGTAAATGTTACAGATTCTTCTGCAGTCCGTTTTCTCTGACTTAGGAATGTGTTAATGCGGGGAATTTTCTCACAACTTAAATCATTTTTAACTTCTGCCACAGAACTGTGAAGTGACTGACAAAAGAAATAATTTTTTTAATTTAGATTTGTTTCAAAGTCCATAATCAAATAACCCTCCAAATCTCCACAGATGATAGCTACTATTTATTTAATGCCTACTCTGTATGGCATTGTTCTAAATGCTTTAAGTGTTTTATCTCACTTGATACAACTGTATAAAGTAGGAACTATAATTACCCCATTTTACAAATGAGGAAAGTGAGGTGCAGTGAGGTTGAGGTCTTTCAACTTGGTCAGAAGTGGGGCTAAGATGCAGACCCCTGCAATGCAACAGCCCATTCTCAGCTGCCTCCAAGACATGTTGCTAAATCAGTCTCCTACCAATTTTAGCTCACAACTTAAATTCCTAGAGAATACTCATATTTTAATTTTTATAATTAGGCATTTGAAAGGAATCTAGGAGCACTGATTTCTTCTGCTACAGAGACATTCTAAGAAAGAAAGTACATTTCAGAGACTACCATGGCCACGTAGGAATTGGACCTCAATGAACAGAACAATTTGATAAGTTGGATGATTA